CAGGTTCTTCCCGGCTCCATTTGCGGCTGCCCAGGGAATAATTCCAGGGATATGGTAATGTCTGGTGTCTGGACAGCCTCCATGAGATTAAAAAAGCAGCTGGTTTGGCATTTTGGAGACAAAACAAGCCTGCCCTGCAGAGGCAAGCACTGCTTCTTCCCGGGAGATGCCTCCGGTCAGGTGAACACCAGCAAATAAAAATCCAATTCTGCAGAGGGATGATTTTCGCCTTCTGGAAGATGAAATCACGAAAGCTCAGAAACAGTGCGCGCTCTGTCTGAATCAAATTATTCTGCGGCCTGTGTGGATTTCCTGCGCCTGGCAGTCAGGTGCGTGCATACAGGAAGTGCTCATTACTGGCACAGCAGCAGATGTCAGCCCCAAAGTGTCCGTTTTACTAGCTGGTGTTTCAGCATCTGTTACGGGGATCAACGAAGTGCGACAGCCGCCAGCGTGCCTCCGTGTGGACTTTTGCGATGCTGTATTTCCTCTTGGGAGGGGCCCCCGATTCTGGACAGAAGGCGCTGGATAAGTCGTTACGACTTCATAGCCCCAGGCTCCTGGCCCAGGCAGGATGAGGAAAGGATGCTGCCCCAGGATCGCCCGAAATGTTTGGTTTGTTTTGTTTTGTGTGGCTGGATGTGGCCGAGTTCCTGCAGCCCCAGCAGCTCTCAGGTCTGGCTGCCCGGCTGCTGCCTCAGGGCTGCACCTGGGCTGAGGCCAGAGCAGCTTCCAGGGTCTCATTTCAGTGGTTTTTATCATCTAGGAGTTATCCAGGTTTCCAGTAAGTCACATTCCAGGGCAAGCAGCGCAGAGATGTGGGTCCTTACTTCCTCTCCCAGGCTAACAACAAACAACTGATTTCCTGTCCACAGCTGGGTACTCCAGCCACAGGAGAAGTCCCACCTCCAGGAAAATAACATTGTGTCTCTCTCAGCCCCGTCTCCAGCACACACCAAGCACGGACTGTCTCTGGCCCTTGGGCAAGCTGGAGCAGCCTTTCGTTTCCTGTCTGCCTGTTCGTGCACGCCCCACCCGTCTCCCAATCCAGGCTGTGATCCTCACCACCCAGCAAGCAGGCGAGGCACGGCTAGGAACCCATTTTACAGGTGAGAAAAGTGAGTTTGCGAGACAGGCAGTAAGTGGGCAGGGCCAGGCCAGGCCGGCTCTGTGTTCCTAGGAGACCCCGTGATGAGCACCCAGCCCCTTCTGCTGCTGCCGGCTGAGGTGAGAGGTGCTTATAACTCAGAGATCTTAGTCATTTGGGTTCTGAAAGCAAACGCCACCTTGTGATGCGCGTCCCAATCCGCCAGCAGCTTCAGAAGCAGCATCTACCTGTAGCCTGCGCAGTCTCCCTCTCCCATCTCAACCACCTTCCCGTGTGCGGCTTCCCTCTCGGATCTGTACAACCCCCTGTTGAGAAGAGGCAGGAGCAGTGTGGGCGGTCATAGCCCTATTTTACAGACGAAGGGTCAGGACATTTAAACAATTTGGCCTGCATCTATAGATGAGAGGGTGGAAGAAGCTGGAGGAGACCTAGACATTCTTTTTTTGTTTGTTTGAGACGGAGTCTCGCTCTGCCGCCCAGGCTGGAGTGAGCGGCGCCATCTTGGTTCACTGCAAGCTCCGCCCCCCGGGTTCCCGCCATTCTCCTGCCTCAGCCTCCGAGCAGCTGGGTCCACAGGCGCCGCCACCTCGCTCAGCTCATTTTTTGTCTTTTTAGTAGAGACGGGGTTTCACCGTGTTCGCCAGGATGGTCTCGATCTCCTGACCTCGTGATCCGCCCGCCTCGGCCTCCCAAAGTGCTGGGATTACAGGCGTGAGCCACCCGCCTGGCCGAGACCTAGACATTCTTATCTAAAACCCACTCACTGACACCAGGACACAGAACTGTCCTTCCTCACGGCCCCCTCCCCGCTCACGCTGTGTTGGTGGAGACCTTGTCTCTCCTGGTGCCGTGGGAACAGCGCTGGGCCCACCCATCAAGGGCTCCCTGGAAGCTGAGCATGTGGTATGAGGAGACAGTCACCGGCCACCCACGCTGCCTCCACACCGGGTGTCACTGTGATCTTACTGGACAACAGGGTCCTCCCGAGGAGAGAACACAATAGGCACACTGGATGGGGGCAGAGGGTCCAAAAGCCCCAAGCAGGGGGCAGGTGGGGGCAGAGGAGAAGGCGCTGTGTCTGTGGGTGGCACCGGTTGCCTCGGAAGGTGCAGGGCCTCCCTCCACGGCCGCCCAGGACCCAGGGCGCTGACCATCTCTCCTGGAGTACGGCAGGGCCCAGGGGGCTGAGGCAGGGCCCCGTTTGGCAAATTCTTCACTCATAGAGGTTTCGGGCCTTTCTCTGTAAAATGAAGATGCGAACATGGTTTGTCTTTCAGGATAGCTGTGATTGGAACATGTGTGTAAACGCCCGTCATGGCAGCATCCTTCTCCTGGTGACAAGTCTTCACTTGCAAAACAAGTCCTTTTAGGTACAGCAAAAGCTGCTGCATGCAAGCGGGTGGAGGGGAATGATGGAAGGAGGTGTTGAAGGGCGGGGGTGGGGAGTGTGCAGCGGCACCGGAAACAAACTTCTCCAGTTTCTGTTTTGCCTGGGAACAGGCTTTGTGACAGCTGCTGCTATCCAGTCGTCTCTGGAACCCTGGCGTCTTCGCCAAGGGCACGGGCTCCCTCTGTGGTCCTGGAATAACGGGGCCTGCCTGGCAGTCTCAGATTGTGTGGGGAGCCGTTTGACTTCGGGTTGGGCTTTTGTGGGATGACCTGCAGTGGCATTAGGTCAGTTGTCAAGGTTTGGCCGACTCGTTTGAGAGACTGGGTTCATGCCCTGCCATTTCTTCTTCCTGTTGCAAGTCTCTGCAAGGAATGTGGTGTCAGAATTTTAGTGCCTCGTATTTCCTACAAATGATAGCAGTAAGCTAATGGTGCGATCGAGACAGTGCTTCATGTTGTGCAGTTTGATTTGCTGATATTCCCAGCTCTTGCGTCTTTGAAGGGCGGCTCTGTGCAGAGATGAGATGGTGTTCCCAGCTCATCACAGCGTGCCCGGTAATCTTACGTTCAGGCACACACTGTTTTTGGAGAAAACATACATTCTTTGTGGATTTCATAGCAGTAATGAGGAAACTTGATTCCTTAGAAAATGTTTTTAATGTTAAAAAAAGGATGACGTTCTTGGGAGGCATTTTGGTTTTCCTGTTTTTATTTTCTGAGGATTTTCATAGACTAAAGACTGAGAATGCAGGAATAGCTTATCTTATTCCAGAAATTATTTTTACCCAGACCTGTTGATTTTCCCCTTAAATTTGTATAGATGTTACACCCTATGATATTTAGCTCAAACATGAACTGAGCGCTCTCGGCTGTTTTACAAGGGCAGCTCAGTATAGGAATTGCTGCTTTTCTTGATTTTCCAGAGCTTTGTATCTCACCATCCCCAAACCTCCCCACACCCCGTCATTGCCTCAAGATCATGTATTTTATCTGCTCTCTACTTATTGTTTAATAATTCTATTTTGTAACTGAACCTGGTATTCCTTCAGGGTGTATAGTGTGAGCACGGATAGAGCCTATTTATTGTCCTCCCAATTAACTAATTTTTCTAACATAACTTATTTGTTTTCTTTAATAAATTCTTCTATAGAACTTGATATATGCAGGCCTTCTTTTTAGGGCTTTTCATCTATTAACTTACACAATCCTCACAACAACCCCGTAAGACAGATATTATTTTCTTTATTTGACTGGCAAAGAAATGTAAAGCAAAGCGAAGTTAAGGAACTTGTTCAGGGTCACACAGCTGCTAGATGATGGAAACAGGGCTCCCTCTGGACAGCCTGGCTGTGAGACCTGGGTTCTGGGTCTCTGCTCTGCCTCCTGCAGATTTGAGTTCCAAACGGTGTTAAGGTCGCTCTTCCTATCTGCAGCTTCCACTTCTGCAATTTAATCACCACAGATGGAAAATATTCAGGAAAAAAAATAACAGCGCAACAATAAAAACCAAACAAATAAAACCGGTGCATTCCAATGACAACTGTTGACATGGGATTTGCATTGTTTTAGGTGTTACAGGTAATCTGGAGATGACTTGAAGTATATGAGAGGGTGTGTGTAGGCTTTATGCAAATACAACACCATTTTATATCAGGACTTGAGCATTCTCAGATTGTGGTGCCTGCAGGGAGTCCTGAACCCAATCCCTTGTGGGTATCCAGGGACGACTGTCTAGGCTGACTGCTTGTATATATTGGACATATTTCTGGGTCTGTGTTCTATTCTAGCGATCACCGTGTGTATTTTTGCCCTAGTACTTCACCCACTTACTTATTGCCACTTTATTTCAGCCTGAAGTATCCTATATGCATCCATGTTATTATTTTCTTAAAAATTTCCTTGCCTTGTTGTTTTTGTTTTTGTTTTGCTTTTCATTCTTCTAGACAACATTTATAACCAATTTCGCTTACGAAATTCTATTGGAAGTTTGAGTTGCATCAAATTCATAAATTAGTTTGGCAAAAATGTGCATCTTCTTAGCATTTCTTTTTAGATATAGAGTGTACTATATTTCTCCATTTGTTCAAATATTTTCTGTGGTGCTCTCTTGGGCTTATGCATTTCATTATTTGAGCCTGACAGACTTCTTGCAAGGTTAATTTCCAGGTACTCAGTTTTAAAATTGTGAATAGAATTATTTTCCCATTGTTTCTCTGTTAATGCTGATATGTAGGACAATGACTGCTTTTTATGTTCCTATTATTAAAATTTTTAAAAATTTAGTATAATTTTACACTATTTTCTTTTTCTCAGGTAGGCAATGATACCAAATTTGAATAATGTCAAAATTTCACCTTTCTTTTCAAAAAGTATGTGTGAATGTGTGTGTGTGTGAGTATATGTGTATATATATAGTTTTTCCTCCTTTTATTTTGTTGTGGATCTGAGAGTATGCTGGCCACAGTAAGCTGCTTTGTCTTTTCCATTGTTTAAGTGAGAATACTACCAGATTTACTGTTAGGTATTTATTGTTAGGTAGGTATTAGCTATTGACTTTGAGTAGGTATTTTTAATCATGTTAAATAAGTATTTTTCTTCCCTAGTTTATTATAAAGTTTAGTAAATGTCTTTTCAGTATCTATTGACATAAGCATAGTCCTTTTTCTCTTTATTTCACATATCGTTTTTGCATCTGTATTCATAAAAGGCATCTGTGTCTAGTTCCCTTTTTAGTCTGTCTTTGCTTGTGTCTCTAGGACATGCTGGCTTTGGGAAATGAATTATTGGGAAACATGCCACCTTTTTGTGTTCTCTGGAAACACTTATCTAGCATGGAAATTATCTGTTCCATGACAGTCTGAAAACCCAGCCTGTGAAAATGTCTGTGCTGGAAACTCATGAGAAATACTTCTTCAAGAACATTTTCAATTTCATACAGGACTTTTCGTTTATTGCTTATTGATTCAATTGTGGTGACTCTTTTTTCTTAGACAAGAAAAGAACATACATTGTTTAAATATCAACATCAAGAATGAAACATTGATTTTTCTTATATAAATTGAGTTGATTGGCACACTTACTTTCTTTTCCTTTTCTTTCTAGCTCCTGTGTATCTTTTTTCTCTTACACTGTCACTGGGCTATCTTGTACATGAAATGCTTTCATTTTTGAGTATTAAATGTGACAGATGAATATAAGTTACAACAATTATTTAGAGTTGTTTGAGTAAACAATTTTGATTCCCTTTGTCAAATTTTTATGCCATGACTTTTCCATCTTTGAGGGATTAAAAAGAATCTTTTTGTTGATGGCCTAGAGCACATTTCTGAGGAAAGATGTGGATATCAGTTCTGCAACCTTAGGTGGGTATGGAATTTTGGAGTCACAAACGTTCTTTTAACTTTGAAGTAGTTGCTTCACTATTTTCCAGTATTTAAAGTTGTGTAAGAAAAATTGAAGCCAGGCTTTACTTCTTTCTTAAAGGAAAATGATTTTTGCTATTTTATTGTTAACTCTATGTTTAACATGTTGAGAACCTGCTAAAACGTTTTCTAAAATGCATACACAATTTTACATTCCCACCAGGAATGCATGAGGGTTGAATTTCTCCACATCCGCATCAACGCTTGTTATTGTCTGTAGTTTTTACTTTAGCCATCTTATTTGGATGTGAAGTTGTGTTTTATTGTGGTTTTGATTTGCGTTCCGTGGTGACTAATATATTGATCATCTGTTTATATACTTATTGGCCCTATGTATATCTTCTTTGGACAGATGTGCATTAAATTCCTTTGCCCAGTTTTTTGGTTGTCTTTTCACTGTTAAGAATTTCTTATGTATTCTGGATACTAGATCTTTGTTAGATATATAATTTGCAAATCTTTTCAACTTTGCTTTTTAGCATCAGGGCATCACTCTGTCATCCAGGTTGGAGTGCAAGTGATGTGATTATAGTTTACTGCAACTTTGAACTCCTGGGCTCAAGCAATCCTCCTGCCTCAGCCTCCTGAGTAGCTAGGACCACAGGCACAGACCACCACATCTGGCTAATTCTTTTTAATTTTTAGTAGAGACAAGTTCTCACTACATTGCCCAGGCTGGTCTCAAACTCCTAGGCTGAAGCAATCTTCCTGCTTCCACCTTCTGAGTAGCTAGGACTACAGGTGTGCATCAACACACCTGGTTAATTTTTTTTTTCTTGAGAGACAGGGTTTTACTATGTTGCCCAGGATGGTCTCAAACTTTGCCCACAAACAGGCCTCCTGCCGTGGCCTCCCAAAGTACTGGGATTAAAGGCATGAGCCACACCAATTTCTTGATAGTATCTTTGAAGAACGAGAGGTTTTAATAAAGTTCAGTTTATCTTTTTTCTTTTGTCACTTATACTTTCGGTATCATATCTAAGAAACAATTACCTAATACGAGGTTATGAAGATTTACTCCTGTGTTTTCTACTATAAATTTTATAGTTTTAGCTCTTACTTTTATATCTATGATTCATGTGGAGTTAATTTTTATACCTGGTGTGAGGTAGGGATCTGCATTTATTCTTTGCATGTGGATATCCAGGGTTGAAAATACTGTTCTTTCCTCATTGGATTGACTTGGTGCCATTGTTGAATATCAACTGACCATAGGTATAAGGATTAATTTCTGGATTCTTAATTCTATTCCATTGAACTGTATGTCTACACTTATGCCAGTACCTCACTGTATTGATTACTATAGCTTTGAATTAAGTTTTGAAATTGGGAAGAGTGAGTCCTCAGACTTTGTTCTTTTTCAATATTTCAGATAAAAAAAACAATATTTCAGATCACGAGGTCAGGAGATCGAGACCATCCTGGCTAACACAGTGAAACCCCATTTCTGCTAAAAATACAAAAAATTAGCCAAGCATGGTGGCAGACACCTGTGGTCCCAGCTGCTTGGGAGGCTGAGGCAGGAGAATGGCGTGAACCCAGGAGGCGGAGCTTGCAGTGAGCCAAGATGTTGCCACTGCACTCCAGCCTGGGTGACAGAGCAAGACTCCGTCTCAAAAAAAAAAAAAACATATTTACAGAATGCAAAACTGATGTATATGGAGGGCTGACTTTTTGAATAAGTGGGCTCTGCCAGGTCAACTGCTGGACTTGCGTATGCACAGATTTCGGCACATACGGAGTCCTGGAACCAATTCCCTACATATACCGAGGGACAACTGTATATTTTTTATCTTTTTACTTTCAACCTATTTGTATCTTTAAATCTAAAGTGTCTCTTATAGACAGCATATAGTTTGATCATGTTTTTTAATTCATTCTGTCAATCTTTGCCTTTGATTCATTTGTTTAATCCATTTACATTTAATGTAATTATTGATAAGCTAGGATTTACATCTGCCACTTTACTATTTTCTGTATCTTATGTCTCTTTTGTTTACCTATTCATCCATTATTGCCTTCTTTTGTGTTAAGTAGATATTTTGTAGTTACCATTTAAATATCCTTGTTTCTTTTACTAAATTTTTTCAAGTTGTCATCTTACTGATTGATATGGTAATTAAAATTAACATCTTATAATTATCTAATTAATATTATTACCAATTAATTTCAATACTAAATAAAACCTTTGTTCCTACATAGCCCTATTCCATCTTCCTTTCATTGTGCTATTATTTCATACAAATTACTTGCTTATAAATATATGCCCATAAATATGGTTTTATAATTATTGCTTTATTCAGTAGTCCTTTATACTAGATTAGAGAAGAGTTACAAACAGAAAAAATACTCGTTCTTTTAAATTTTTACCAAAGTGGTGATCTTTACTATTGTTTTTTATTTCTTCACGCAGATTTCATTTATTGTCTAGTGTCCTTTTACATCAACCTGAAGGACTTCCTCTACTTCATTCATGTAAGGAATGTTGGATAGCAATGAAATACCTCCATTTTTCTTTACCTGGGAATATCTTTATTTCTCCTTCATTTTTCCACATTAAAAAATTTTCTGGGTAAACCTTTTATTTTGGAATTTTAAACATATCCAAAAAGAATTTTATTACTAAGTCTTAAAGAAATAACATCCACATTTTCTTGAGTTTTGTTGAGTTTGAAACAGATGCTGCCTGAAGATTACTTGTATTTTCTACAGAAATCCTGTGTGCTAATTTCTTCTTTTTATCTTACATGGGCCATACTGTCTGCGGGTATTTGGGTTAGTTAACTCATTGTGGTAAGGTGTATTACTACACATCCATTTCCAGTGTCCTTTCTGGGAGCAAATTCTATCTCCCTGCCCCTAAAGTGAGTCTTGTCCCTGTGAATTGGTCAAGAAAGTTTGAACAGAACTAATAGGTGTCATTTCTGGGTGGACACTGTAAAAGCCAACCTGAGCTTCACCATGCTGTGTTTGTGCCCTGGCATTCATCTGCCCATGCTGTAGATAGTGACTTGGGTCCCAGAGTGAGGATGAAAGTGACACTGAGTGGAGCTCCCAGGTAACCTGCATGTGGAGGAGAAATGGACCTTCATTGTTGCAACTTTTTTAAAACATAATTTTTAATAGAAAATAATTTCCAAATGGTTCAAAAATTAAGACTAAAAATATGCTAAAAAGTGTGCAGTCGCCTTCAGTCTTTATCTCCATCTTCTCAGGGCCATCTCATCCCATGCCTAGGAATCGTGATCATTAATTTTTTAATGTATATTTCCAGAGTGTGTTTACGTGTCTATGGCAAACATGCCACACACATGCTCACACACAGATCTTCACCTATTGTTACTTGACAGATGCGCCATCCCACTGTGCTGCATATGGCTTCTTAAATTTAATATACCTTGAAGGTCTGTGTATATTAATTTTTTTATTTATTTTACAGTTACATAGCATTTCATTTATGGTTCTGTCATCATTTATTCATGGAAGTGTTGGCCGGGCGCAGTGGCTCACGCCTGTAACCCCAGCATTTTGGGAGGCTGAGGCGGGCGGATCACCTGAGGCCCGGAGTTCAGGACCAACCTGGCCAACATGGTGAAACCTTGTCTCTACTAAAAATACAAAAATTAAAATTAGCTGGGCATGGTGGTGCATGCCTGCAGTCCCAGCTACTTTGGGGGCTGAGGTAGGAAAATTGCTTGAACCCATGAGGCAGGACAATTTCTTGAACCCATGAGGCAGAGGTTGCAGTGAGCGGAGATCATGCCACTCTACTCCAGCCTGGGGAACAGAGCAAGACACAGTCTCAAAAAAAAAAAAAAAAAAAGTGTTAATTCTTGAAAATTTGAAATTTCACCACAAGAACATGTTAAGAGTAGATGCTCTTCTTTTCATCCTTTCAGGCACTTCGGAGACTCTCTCAATCTCATATTTCATGCTTTTTTCTCCAACTCTTGAAAATTTTATCTTATTACTTAAAAAATATTTCATGAGCTCTTGTCTTCATTTTCTCTTTTATGCAAGTCTTATTGCAAAATACTCTGGATTGATTCATTGTCTTGAATTATTCCTCATATTGTATCGATCTTTTTCTTATGTTTTGGATTTGTCCTGAGCTCTGTCTTCTTGAAAATCAATTAAATCTTCAGCAACATCATATTTTGTTTTTAAGTTTTTCGGATCTTCTGTCTCTCTCTGGGCGCTACCCTCCTGGTGGGATGTTCCTGTCTTCCTGTGTGCTTGGTTTTATTTCTGTAGCTCTTTGGCTTGATCCTGGAGGTGACCCTGCTGCTGTGAGTGACTGCAGGTGAGAAGGAGTGGTTTGGGGACTCCTAAAACCACTAGAGAGAGAGAGACGTTCCTTCAATTAACCGTCCAGATTTCAGCCTCGTGGTCCTGCAGCTCACCTGCCTGCTGGAGCCCTGTGCCCTGGCGGGAAGAGGGGCTTTCGCCCTCACCGCTCAGCTGTGGTCCTTGCAGCCAGTGCTCACCTGCCGCAGCCTGCCTGTGCTGTGATCCCGCCCACGTTCCATCTTCTGGAAAACCACCTGACTATCTGGTCTGCTTAAGGCTCCTGTGCTCGCTGCGTTATAAATCCACACATAAATCCTGTGTGGATTTATGTACTTTGGTGAATTCTCATTGTCATGCCATCAAATTTAGAAAGGAAACAAGGAAAATCCATCTGCTAATTCTACTATTTTGAAAGGAGAACTCGGTGGGGAAGGGTGATTGGCAGAGACAGGGAAACAGGCATTTGGAAAACAGGGAATTGCCTGGACTTTGATGGGAACAGGGAGCTTGCTTGGACTTCAGGGCTGGTGGCCGCTCACTCATCAGAATGACACCTTCCTCTTGGGGGAGGGAAGTCGTTAGAGGGACCTGCAGGTTGGGGTGGAGAGGACCCAAACGCAGGTTCTACCCTGGCCTGGATCAGAGCCTGTCGCCTCTAAGGGCTCACGTAGTCTCTTTAATAACCTTTACCCGACCCCACATGACAGCTAATGTTGTCTCTTTAATATCCTTTATCCAGCTCCACGCTATGAAGATTTTGCCTAGAGAAGAAGTGGTGGTTCTGCTTACCTGGTAACATGTGCAACCGGATCCACACTATCGTGAGCCCTCACAGCTTCCCCTGGATATATGGCAGGTAAATTAGTTAATTATTGTTTTCGAATTGACATGCAATTCAGGCTTTTGATTTGTAACTTAATTATACTGCCTTAGGTAACTTCCAATTTTTAACTAGATCCATTTGAATAAGCTTAGTGTTCTATCTCAGTATGTCCTATCTCAGGAAGATTAAGAAGTAAGCTGGAGAGTTTAGTAGCTTTGTAACAATAGCATGAAATGTGGAATAATGAACTGTAAATGTGTCTAATTACATAAATAATGCATTTGTGTAATTGTCAAGTAAGGGGGGTGTGCTAATGAATCAATTATTTTTAATTGTAGGATGCTTGATTGTTTCAGAAATATAATTGATTGTAATCAAGAATCAATTAAATGTTGATAGTAATTATGTTTATCAGGCTTAAATACATGACATCATTACACTATAACTGCTTCAGGAAGAAGAAACTAGAATGAGGTTATTATAAGTGAAGGAGAAATAGCTCATGTTTATGTCAACAGCTTTGCAGTCATAGGACTGCGCAGTAATGAGGTAAAAATGAGGAACACGTTCTTCAGGGCTTATCAACGAAGGCTGATGAGGGCCGGCTCCCCCAGCCGGGAGCCTTCACGCCCCCACCACAGAGCAGGTTCCGCCCGTGGTGTGTCGGATCAGGAACCTGCAAGGGCAAAACACATTTGCACTAGAGGTATGGGCGTGACCGGGCCTTACCGATGTTGCTTTTGGGAAAAACTGTGTTGCTGGGATCCTGTGACTTCTTGGACTCTTTTGCAGTCCGCGTGGCACTAGCCTTGCTATTCTGCCCAAGTTGATGTGAGACCCCTGACTGCCCAGTGCACCACGGGTTGTCTAAATGTTATAGAAATGAGTGCCACTGTGTGAGGTCCTGCTGAAGTCACTGCTCTGCAAGCGTCTCCAGGGCCCGGGGCTGTGTCTCGTTCATATTTGTACTCTTGGTGCCTGCCATATAGTTACCCTTAGCAAGCGTTAAGTGAATAAATAAAAGTGGCTGTGATTCAGTAGCTCCTTAGAATGCTGCTCCTGGGTGGCTACTGTTGTTCTCTGTTGAACAAGTGTTGACTTACCCACACTCTCACCCATTCACTCACTCATTCAATATTTATTGAACACTTATTGAAACATTCAATGATATTTATATGTGCCAAGATCTGTTCCAGAGATTTAGGACTTGTTATTTAACATGGTTAGAGCGTCCTTGTTCTGGTGGAGCTGACGGTAGGTAAGAGAGGCAGGTACCAGAACCATCAGTGCAATCGGAGGTGACAAGTGCTCCTGGGTGGGTGGCGCTGGATGCACACAGCAGAGGCGCAAAGAAGGACTTGAGTCTGGTCCTGCAGGCAGGACGGAAGAGGGCACAGTTACAGGGAGATCTGGCCTGAAGGGCTGAGGCCTAGAGGCTCCTGTGTGCCAAGGAGTGAAGCAAACTGGTGTAGTGAAGGCCCCTGTGGGCTGCTCCGGGGAGAGGGTGTCAGGAAGGAGGAATGTACGCAGTGAGACTGCATGCGGCCAGGTCTTCAAGCTGAACACAGCAGGCGGACTTCAGCCCTTATTTTCCTGGGTCCCTGTCTCCTTTTCCCTGAGGGGCCGCCTAATTCTTTCCTCCCTTCTTCCAGGTCCTCCCGTCTTGGCTCTGCGACACCATCTCCCATTGCTCTGTCTCACTTCTCTCCTCCCACACTCCCTGCTGATACGGTGTGGCTGTGTCCGCATCTCAATCTCATCTTGAATTGTAGCTCCCATAATCCTCATGCGCTGTGGGAGGAACCCGGCGGGAGGTAACTGAGTCATGGGGGCGGGTCTTTCCCGTGCTGTTCCTGTAATAGTGAATACGGCTCACAGGATCTGATGGTTTTATAAAGGCCAGTTCCCCTGCACTCACTCTCTTGCTGCCACCATGTAAGAGGTGCCTTTGCTCCTCCTTCGCCTTCTGCCATGATTGTGAGGCCTCCCCAGTCATGTGGGACTGTGAGTCCATTCAACCTCTTTCCTTTATCAATTACCCAGTCTCAGGTGTATCCTTGTAGCGGCGTGAGAACAGACCGCACCTGCCCTGCCCAGCCGCCTCTGCTGGCTCTCCCACAGCTGGAGTCACCCCAGAAGCGGCAGCAGGAAACGTCCGCACGGCTTATTGGAGCTTGTGCTCAGAGGGTCCCAGCGTCCTTACGAGGCGCAGTGAGACCCGATGCTCTGCCCAGGTACGTCTGCTGTGAGGGCGTCGGACTCTGGAGTTTATAGGGGGTCTGAGGACTCTGGCTCAGGGCTGGGGCTAGTTCCTAGATGTTTCACAACATGGTTGATTTCTCAGTGTTCACAGCAGCCACCTACCCAGCTTTCGCAGTGCCTGGGAATCAAATAGGCCCAGCTTGGGTTCAAGCCTGTGGGTAAAACTTGCAGCTGCCAGGGCCACAGAGGGGTCAAGGACCCTGTGCTTCTCTGGCTGAAGAAAACTAGGGGGCCTGGGGGCCCTTCCCTCCTCTTCAGCAGTGTCCAGCCTGGCCTCTATGATTCCTCTGCATGCACAGCCCACAGCGGTCTTCCTGCTGGCCCAGAGTCTTCCTCTCAACAACCTGGCCCCTGAATTCCTGACCCCTGAGCTCCCCCACTCTGCCTGGTGGTGCCTGTCCCACACTCTACTTGCTGCCTCAGTGACAGACACGCCTTTGTGCCACTTTCCGCATCCCGTCCCTGTGGTCGGAGAGCAGCTGCTGCATCTTTCCGTGACTCTTAGCTAAGATTTTGCTGTTGTTTGTGTTAGCCTGAGGTTCCTCTTGGAGAGCTACTATCTTTTAAAAAATCAAAGTAAAAATAGAAGCAGTGAACATTTACACAGCATCCTAAATCATCCTGTTGTAAATGCTCTGCATGTATTAATTAATGGATCCTCTCGTCAAACCCATGAGGAAGGTACCATTATTATCCTGGGTTACAGATGGAAGAAACTGAGGCACAGGGAAGGTAACAGAAGCCTGCCTAGTGAGTGGCAGACGGACATGGATGGAGGGAGCCTGGCTTCAGAGTCTGTGCCCCCAGTCACAGTGCGGCAGGATATTGGGTCCAATGTGAGCATTGTAAGTCACTTTTTTCCATGGGTAAGCCCTGTAGTGTGCCATATTTACACTTCCTTTCTCAGACAGTACTTTCCTTTCCTAGAGTCATTCATTTTTTTTATTCATTAGTTGTGTGTAAATGCCCCAAAGTCTCCTGTGATACAAGCACTGCAGCTGATCCTCCAGCTTCTCTTTCTTCACAGTGAGGATCTCCCAGGGGCTGTGCCCTCCTCCTGTGGTCGCCATGCAGCTCTCCTGGGCTGGTCTTGCCTCCCACTGGGGGTCCCGCCTGCCTCTTTCCTCTGCTGCCCTTTTCTTGCATCCCACAACCACTGTTCTCTTGCTTAGTCCCTACTTCTGGTGGCCACATTTCCAGGGGCTTCGTGAGTTAGGGTGCGTGGGAGGTAAAGGTTTTGAGTTTTTGCTGCTTAAAACTTGAATAAAACTTAGTCTGTAGATATACAACTCTAGACAGGGCTTCATTTTCCTTCTGGAATTTTGAGGGATTGTTTCCTTATCTTCCAATTTCTAACGTCACTTTTGAGACATTCATCATATCTGTTCTTTTGTGCAGAACCTTTTTTTTTCTCCGTATGCTTTATATGGTAACAATACAAAATGTATTAAATGCATACTATGTGTCAGATACTGCTCTAAGTCTTTAAATGTATTAATTTAACGTTCAGAGTAACTCTACAAAGTAATAATATTATCATTTCCATTTTTCTGATTAAGAACACACGCATGCACCTGGGACACAGAGAAGACGTGTAACTAGTCAAGCTTCCCGCGGGCTGAGTGGAGGAGCTGGGGGTTCACACCAGGCAAAGCCATGCCGAGGCACCCATCACCCCGTCCTGGTCCCTTCCCAGCTGAAGCTCTGAACCTTCACACGATGGGCTTGGAGGGGCCGTCTTATTCTGTGGGCACTGGGTGGCTGCTGTCCGTCTGGAGTCAACATCCTTCCGGTGGCGAATGTGGCTTCCATCATTTCTTTGGTAATTTCCTTCTTTCTGTTTTCACTTTTCTCTCCTCCTGGGGCTTCTGCTTTGTGGGTATTGAATCTCCTGGATGGAGACTCTGATTTTCTTATGTTTTCAGTCTCATTTCTTGCTTTTTGTTTTGTTCTGCTTTTATAGCCTAAACTTATTATTTTATTTTTAGAGTTTATTATTCTACTTTGAATTCTCGAGTTTTTTTTTTGTTTGTTTTTTGGAATGTTCTTTTATTCATAGCATACTGCTCCATGTCCTGTTCTTTAATTTCTGAACAAATTAACTATAGTTTCTTTTAAAAATGTTCTTATGCTCCCGTTGTTTCTTTCTGAGTTGCTGTTTTGTTTGCATGTGCTGGGTTTGGTCTCTGTGTTGGAGATTTCCCCCATGTGCCTGGTGATAATGGGCAAGTTCGCCCACATTTGTGAGTGTTAGCACCTACTACAAGCTTTGTGTGCATGGGTGGTACTTGCTGGGTTGTGGGCTTTGTTCTAGGATACCGGGAAGGGGAGCCAATGGTTGCGGTGTGGAATTCCCAACTGACAGAATCTGCAGGTCTTTTCCCTTGGGCTAGTCAATTTCCTCAGAAAAAAATTCTCCAGGGTTGTAAACCTTGGCGTTAGCATTTTGCACGTGGGGTTGTCAAGTCAACACCTGCCATCTTTTCCCTCTCCTGGACACTTCCTGCAAAATGTAGTCCTAAAGACATTCCATGGGATTGAGCAAGGTGGGTGTCTTGCAGAGGGGGGCTGGGGGGAGTCCAGGAGCTCAGGAGGGCGAGGAGGGTGCCCATGGAGGGGGCTTCAGGGGTGTTCCAGTCCAAGCAGAATTGCCTGCTGTAAATGGCTGTCCTTTGCACAGCAGGAAGCAGACTGTGAATAGCAGCAGCCCCGTGGATTCCCTAAAGATTCAAGGATTATTAACTGTGTTCTCTACTGACTGGCTGGGCACC